GAAAAACTGAGGCAAGAGGATATCTTGAACCCAAGACTTGGAGGTTGCTGTGAGCTATGACGCCATGGCATTCTACCCAGGGCAATAGCTTGAGACTCTGTCTCAAAAAAAGTAATAATAAAATAAATAAATACATAAAACAAAATCTAATGAGGAGACATCTAAAATTGGTAACACTGGGCGGCACCTGTGGCTCAAGGAGTAGGGCACTGGCCCCATATGCTGGAAGTGGTGGGTTCCAAACCACCCCAGCCAAAAACTGCCAAAAATAAATAAATAAATAAATGAATAATAAAATTGGTTAACATTCAGGGTAGCAGCATCTTTATACTAATTTGAGTTTGCTAAAAAAAAAAAAAACCAATAATATTATTAAGTTACTTGAAAATATATAAAAAGAAGTTAGCAGAATTTAAACAATCAGGCCAGATCTTCCAAATTAAGTTACTCATTGGTAAATTAAGTTACTCAATAGTAGATATACCAACTCTTTCAAATTATAGTATTTTCAGAAATAGGATCTCAGCAACATCAAAGTGTATACCCAACTGCCAAGGTGTTGATTATTAATTAAGAGAATAGATGACCCAGGTATCCTGAATGCAGAACATCATTTATTTGAAATACATACATTTAACTATTAAAGCTCGTTACAGGCATTTGAGTACTTGAATATAGTCCCTTGTGGTTACATCAGAGCATGCCTGCCTTTTAGGGACAGTCCAGCATTAACCCTGGGCTGAGAACAGAGTAAGGAGACAATTTTATCTGCAATGCACTTCCTGTTGGTTGAATAGACTATGAAACAGCTACTAAAACACATTTCTCTCCGATAATTCTTTATAAAAGCATGACCTATTGGTTTAAAAGCTAAAAGAATCTTACAAATTACAATAGGTCTGCTTTGTGAAAGAACCCAAGCATGTCCCATGATTTCATTTACGGGATGTACAAACTAAGCCAACTAATGGAGGCTGTAGGAGGTCAGAACAGTGGCTTTGTGCTGGGGGGAGGGTTGGGATTGTAGCTAAAAGCAAACTGAGAGTCTTCAGAGGTGCTGGCTGTGTTCTGTTTCTTGACCTGAGTATTAGTTGTACAAGAGTGCCCCATTTATTAGAATTCTTTGAGGTGTATGATAATGAAATGTACTTTTCTGTATGTATATCATTCTTCCAGGAAAAGTTAAAATTATAGCTGAGTTTCAGCAATTAAAAGGTGATGACTTTGTAGTTTTAAACTTTTTTCCAAAGGTGAAATAGCCAAGTTACTAACCTTACTAGGTAACTTTAGCATCAAGAGAATAGATAACTGCTGACTACAAAGATGAATTCCTATCTATGTTATGTCTTAAAACCTTGAAATACAGTACGCTGAAATTATTCAGAAGTAGAAGGTAACCTTTTGATATGGTTGCTCTGGTTTAACTCTCAAAAGGCTCACTACCTAGGGTACTTTATGATTATTAGCCATTTGCTTTAAATGAAAGTACAAACTCTAATCCAATTTTAACTAATCTTGAAAGCATTTCTAAAAATCTCAATACATTATATAACTGCACATTTAATTCCTTTCTTGATACAAAAATGTTTGCTTTTTCATTTTATGTCTACAAAGTAATAATATCATAACTACACTTAAACTTGACAATTCAATTATAATACACAGACTGTTAGTGGTCACTATTACAACATACTTATAAATGATTTTCAATAACTACACCAAAGCTGAAGGCAAAGTAACTCCCTATTTACTAAACAGTTTGAAGCTAAGTGGCTCTATAAATTGAC